TCTCTCTCTCTCTCTCTGTGTGTGTGTGTGTGTGTGTGTGTGTGTGTGTGTGTCTGTCTGTCTCTCTCTGGTCAAATTAAAAATGAATGAATGAATGAATAAATTAAAATAAGTATTTTTAAAACTGGAGTTAAATAAATAATTCCTTTATAAAATTGTTTTTGAATTGTTGATTTCCTTGATCGAACTAACTTAGTGCATTGTCAGAAAAACATGATGCATTTTTGCATTAAAAAAAAAAAAACAGAAAAAAACTTCATAACTTTTTCTGACAACCGAATATTTTCAAATAAAAGTAAATGGGAAAGGTTTTGTTGTTGTTGTTGTTTTTAGAGAGAGGGAGTTTTTTTCTTTTTCTTTACCTTTTTTTGGAAAGAATCATTTTATGTAGCTTTATTTATTTATTTTAATTTGACCAGAGAAGGACAGAGTGAGAGGGAGAAAGAAAAAGCGAGAAAGCAAACCACCAGGTCCAAGGCTCAAACTGCAGTCAGCCATGTGGGTGTCTAGTACTCTCAACCACCACGCCACCTGCCGGCCCTGAAGTAGACATTTTTGCTGTAGGATACATGTACTCACCAAAAAGACAGAGACAGAGAGACAGAAAGCAAGAAATCACCCTCTTGGAGTATGGCCATGCCACAGTCTCTTCTCCTCATTTTCCTCTCAGGATTTTGGGCATGCATACATGTACCCAGCATGAATTTTAAGTCACTGGGTTGGGGACTCAAAGTGCAGTTGACTACGTGGGAGTCCAGCAACATTGCCATTATGCCATCTGCTGGTCTCATGATTTTTCCTTGATAGAAAATTATAACCACATGCACTTCAGTGACTTTGTTTACTCTTTCCTGCTCTCTTTGAACTCCTTTAGTTGTTTTCAGTAGAATTCACAGTGAGCAATTTCACCTAGTGAAAAATGTTTTGAAATATTTATTGGAAGATTCTTTGTTTCTTAAAATATATGAACAGTATTTGTGGCTAGATCTTTTGTAACATTCTGCTTGTGATACTTTTTTTCAGAGAGTTAAAAAAAAAAAGTTGATTGTGTATAAAATGGTTTCCCATATAATGTTTTTTGATCTAGGCAGTGTTATTAATAAGTTTCATAAAAGGAGTTCTATTATTAAATATGTTCAGTATCGGGGGACCAGCAGTTAGCATAATGGCTATGTTACTGGACTCCCATATAGTTGACCACGGTTCGAGTCCCAGACCTGGTGGCTTAAACTCACGCCAGGTGCGTGTGCATGCGTGCCCAAGATCCCGAGAGGAGAGTGGAGGAGAAGGGATTGTGGCGTGGTCATCACCCCTTGGGGGTGATTTCTCGCTTTCTGTCTCTCTGTCTCTGTCTGGCAAGCGCATGCGCCCTATAGCATAAACCTCTCCAAAGGGAAAAAAATATGTTCAGTATTGGGAAATGCTTAATTACATTTTTTGAGGGCAAGGACCTTGTTTATTTTGTACATAATCTGTGTGTTAGTGCCTAACACATAGAAGATGGCCAGAAAATATCTTTCATTGGTCTAAAGAAACCATGTGAATGCCTTGGGGCCGACCTCATAGCCTAGTGTTGAAGGGAGCCAAATCTCACATGACTGACTTTGGGCTTGAATCCCAGCCCCAGCAACTTGAAGAACATGCTGGGCACATGTGTATACATGCCCCATATGGCAAGAGGATGGTGAAAT